TCTCTCTCTCTCTCTCTCTCTCTCTCTCTCTCTCTCTCTCTCTCTCTGTCTGAGTCACTCCATGCCTCCCCTTCCTCATTTCCTTCCACACTTCCCCCTTCCCCTCCTTTTTTCCTCTTCAGTATCTTCCCTGTATATGTTAGTAAATGACAAGTCTGAGAACAAGAATCAGATCTAGTGGGTCTTTCAAATCCAGGAATTTGAGGCTAATGAAATTAGCTTGTGGCCAGGGCTCTGCCAAGTAGAATTAAATCACAGCAACTGCCCTGTGATGCATTTTCAGGCTCAAAGAAGCATTGGGGAGGAATTTCTGGAGATTTGCTTTTGAGCCTGGGCAGAATAATACTCTCTTAATGCTCAGAAAGATTAAACATAAATTATTACTGACGAGGAGTAACATATTTTTAAAAACTAATCACAGGATGGGGATGGCTTAAAGTGGGGAGGTTACATAATGTGGTGACCAAAGGATGAATCTCCCCTGAATATTATTTTATAGCCATGAGTAGGAAACATTGCAGTGTTGAAAAAGATCATTGCTGATTAAGGTTCCTCTGTTACTGAATTGGAGCAAACACTCAGAGAGTAAAAATTACTTTGACTACATCCTGACTCTATCAGAATACTATTTTGCATACAGTGACATGATCTAGGCTCAGAAGTGCTTGGCATTCTCTCTCTCTCTCTCTCTCTCTCTCTCTCTCTCTGTGTGTGTGTGTGTGTGTGTGTGTGTGTTTCTTAGTATGTGTCTCATGAAGATCAGTTCACAGGGTGATGTAATATTACTAGGGTGTCTTCTTTTTTAAGCAACTCTAACCTATTCTTTTTAAAATTGTGTAAATATAGGTATCACTGCCATTTGGAATCATCTCTAAAACAATCTCTGCCTCCACATTTACTGTGTTTTATAAAATTTACCTAACAGATGGTGAGTGGGAAAATTTTAAAGGGGCATTTTTAAAAGAGCAGAAAGGAAAGGAATGAAGACATCCACATGCTATATTTAAAGATACCTTCATGTATATTTTATGTATGTACAATTCATTTAATTAGGATGTCTTTGAACATTTTTCTCTTACAAATAATTAAAACAAATATGACATTTTTGTTAATTTCACAGACATTTCAAATTTAAGAACTTAAAAGTGACCTGCTTTAACATATACACAGGATATATATGTTCTAAAAAGACCTTAGGTGAATTACACCAAGTTTTCTAGTGCTGTGAATACCATTCACTGCTACCCTAAGTAAATCATTTTCTTTGAATAGGCCCCATTTTCTTCATCTGGATTTCATCTTTAAAATGTAGTTTCTAGTGGCTGCAACGTTAGCTCAGTGGGCAAAATGATTATTGAACAAATCTGAAGGCTTGAGTCTGGATCCACCAAACACAAGCCAGTCATAATGGTGTGTCTCAGTGAATTCCAATTTCAATGAGAGACTCTAATTCAACAAATTAGGTGGAGAAATCATTGAGAAAGACCTGTAACATTACCTCTGGCCTCTACACACATACACTGTATGTATATATTCATATATATGAACATGTCCACATGCACAGACAATAATCACAGACAATAATCTAGAGTTATGCTGTACTTTTTGGAAATGTACTTCTTGGAAATCTTTTTTTCAACTTGCATTTATAAAAACCCCATGACCTCATTTTTTAAAAATATTTCCACTTTGAACTTTTAAAGTCTTTTAGAAACTTTTCAGTGATATATATATATATATATATATATATATATATATATATATATTACAGCTTCTCCATCATTATTAGTCTAGTCCATTTATCATATTCAGAGCTTCCCCTGATTCTTCTATTT